GGGCTTGAAAACGACACGGCTGGCGGATTCGACGAAGGAGCGTCCGGAGGGCTTGCGGCAACCACATGTGATGACATAATTTTCATTTGAATGTAATTAATATTAACACTGGCAAGTACATTAAAAAATTATAATAATAATAAAAATCTGTGTTCAAAACTCTTACAATCATTTACACCCAAAACTGCTGTTTGCTTTGGCAGGAAATTTTAGGCTTCCATCATTTGCCTTTACACATTTACGTCATACATTCATGCTGTCTTTCAGGCATTTATGGCTTTTTTGACGACACAACCAACAACCTTTTAGTTCTGGACATGGCACTGGCCCATAAGATGTCGTCTGTGGTGTTCATCATGCCGTACCATGTAGAATCCCTGGAGAGAGTGGAAAAACTGTTGACACGTCAACAACTCAACACCTGGATCAGTAAAATGGAACAGAGGTCAGTTGCGGTGTCACTGCCTAAAGTCAGCGTGGAGGTCAGCCACAACCTGCAGGTATGGACAATCTGCAATTCCAACAAGCTATTATATACTCACTCACCTGTGAATTCAGTTACTAATGTAACGGCTTGCTTTCTTGCAGAAACATTTCGCTGAGCTGGGTCTGACCGAAGCTGTGGACAAGGCCAAAGCTGATCTGTCTAACATCTCAGGGAAGAAAGACCTCTATCTGTCCAATGTATTCCACGCCTCGGCCATGGAGTGGGACACGGAGGGAAATCCACCCGATACTAGCATCTTTGGTTCCGACAAGCTCAAGAACCCCAAACTCTTCTACGCTGACCATCCCTTCATCTTCCTGGTGAAGGACAAGAAGACAAACTCAATCCTTTTCATGGGCCGGCTGGTCCGACCGAAGGGTGATAAAATGAGGGATGAATTGTAATTTGCAAATTTAATGGCGCTTTTCCACTGCATGGTACGGCACGGTACGGTTCACTTTTGGGGGTTTTTCCACTGGGTACAGTACCTGGTACTTTTTTTAGTACCACCTCGGTTGAGGTTCCAAGCGAACCGTACCGTTACCAAAACGTGACGTGTAAACTCTGCTGATCACTGATTGGCCTAAAAGAATCGTCACTACCTGCGTCACTGAACTTGCGACACGAGACACAACAGACCCGCTAGATTTATATCAGCACAGCCAGCGAAGGATCGAACGCAACTGTTTTGAACGAGCGCACCAAAAAATGTCTGTTTCGTTGTCTGTTGAGGAAGTACAGATGTTCCTCTCGTTGATAACAGAGGAGCGGATCCAGCAAGAGCTTGATGGGGCGACGCAGAATGAAAAAGTTATTCAGGAGTCGCGGCAATAGAGGCGGCGCAACTATAACGACATCGCTAGATTTAAATCAGCACAGCCAGCGAAGGATCGAACGCAACTGTTTTGAACGAGCGCACCTTTTTTAACAGGCAAAAAGTGGCTGTTTCGTTGTCTGTTGAGGAAGTACAGACGTTCCTCTCGTTGATAGCAGAGGAGCAGATCCAGCAAGAGCTTGATGGGGCGACGGGGAATGAAAAAGTTTTTCAGGAGTCGCGGCAATAGAGGCGGCGCAACTATAACGACATGTGAATAATCCCGCCCACTCTAAAGCGGTAGTGATGCCAAGTCCGATTCATTTCCGCGAATCGGTTCTTTTCGGACAGATCGGCTTATTGAACCGGTTCAAAAAGCCAATTCATCGGTTCCTGACGTCATCAAGCAATAACGTCCCTACGCCTTT